TCTTTATTCATTGGGTCTTTTCCTATAGAGAAAACTATTAATGAAGTTGTTGTCAAATTAACTTTGCCTTTCATCCTGTTTTCCACGTGTTTCTTCTAAAACCTTACGTTTCGGATCCTTTTCCAAGAGATAAACAACAGCCTCCAGAACCTGTTCTGGTTGATGGAGAAATTTAATATGAAGTCAATAGAGTTTTAGATTCTCGTCTTCATCATGGGAAACTACAATACTTAATCCAATAGAAAGAACATGGCCCTGATGATGACTCATGGGAAGACAAGGAAAAGATTCATGCCTTTCATCTAATTGCATAATTTCATAAAAGGTTTTCTGAAAAACCTAATTAATAGCACTGAGAGCGTGCTCCTTAAGAGGGGGTGATGTTAGGATTCCTTCATATTGTCTGGTAATTTCTCCATGTTTGATTTCAGCCAGATCAGCACTACCCGTATGACTTACGGGTTTCGCCAATCTCTCTCCGCCCATGCGTTTGATGTCACTCGCTTCCCTTCAAAAGAAAGCTGTGACCGCATTCAAATGGCTCAATCGATTTTTTTCTTGTGTTTGATACTCTCGCATATTTGCTACCTTGTTGCCAATTTAGCGACGGAGCTTCTAATTGATTTCCTGTGTATCGAACTTCTTGGTTTGATCTTGACTACGCTCTACTCTTGACTCACTGACTTCACTTCTGATTCCTGCCTTTCTCCACATACCACAAGGAACCATAATCCACTCTATCCTGGAATGACTCTCATGCTCATCACCCAATGCAAGATAAATTCACCAGTTTGGGATTAACAATAGGTTCTTAACTGAAGTTATTTGGGAAGGATAAAGAAATACTAAGTCTGCTTCTGGGATTCCATTTGCATATCCAAATTGAAAGTCTCATAAGCCAATTACTCATTCGTCAATTGTCTTATTCACTATTATTGACGTCAGTACGTGTCACAAGAATCTTATATTCCTGGAAGTGCTCAACCACCTGAGGACCACAAGTGCTAGCTATGAGTCAGAAGGTGGGAGGAGTATCACAGACCAGCATTCCAGGGAGAAGATCATTTTATACATTGTATTATATATAGGATTTATTTTATCAAAGTTGCCGTCCTGCTTGCTACATTCAACTACATCATCTTGCTGTTACATCAGGGTCCTTCATATACACTATTATTTTTTCCCTTGTTTCTCCTTTTCCCTATTTATGTTTGGAACTACATAAACTAAATCTGGAAAGGTATTTTAACTCCAACTCCTTTTTCTACTTATTGAGGAGTAGGTGCTCTTTTTGTATTCATTTTATCACAGAGTGCACGAAGTTCACAAAGTGTGTGTAAATATTTTGTACAGATCTGGACTATTACAGCACTTTAATCAGCGCACTGTATTGCACTTTCACTATTCTCTCACTGTGTATGTATATATTTATAGAAAATACAGATCTGTATAAACTTTTTAAAAGTATTTAAAGGCATAGCACACTTTTTCTCTCACTATATTTTATTAAGTGTTTCTTGAGCGATTTTCACTTGCATTAGTGCTTGCTTACCTTTTTAATAATTTATAAGGGTTAAACGAGTTTGTTTATTTATGGTATTAATTTTTTTAGCACTTTTTTTACTTGATTTTCTTGTATAGTATTTAGGAAGAGTTTGTATTTTTGTGATCCACTTTTCTACCTCTGTGAACTGATCTTGGAGCACAGCCTTAAACTGCGATAGATTGGATTTTCTTGCACAGATTACGGTGTTGTCTGCATACATGTGTACATTTGAGGATTTGCAGACATTAGGCAGGTCATTTATAAATAATGCGAATAGTAGGGGGCCGAGAATGGAACCTTGGGGAACACCACATGTGACTGGGAGAGGGATGGAGTTGCTGTAAGAAATGGACACATATTGTGATCGATCCAATACATATGATGAAAACCAAGTTACCGGACGATCACTGATACGTTTTTTAATTTGTGCAGTACAATGTTGTGGTCTACTGTGTCAAGAGCCTTTTAAAAAAAAATAAAAAAAATCAAGGAAAATGGCCCAGGCAGAAATTCCAGAGAATCTAATTTGCAAGCCCTATATTTGACCCTGTAACATTTCAAAACCCCATAAAACCTGGACATGGGGGGGTACTGTTTGTTGTGCCTAATCACTAAATTCATGAAGCACCAATATCCAAAAAGTAATAATCAATACCTAATAAGGTTTATAGCGATATTGGCGGGCACACAACCCAGTTCGGATAGAGTACATTGAGTTATAGGAAAGAGAAATCACACAGAGACCAAGTTGAATATAAGAATTCACACTAGACTTTATTATCCGCAACGGGATCTAAGCAAAGTCAGTTTTACTCTCATTTAAGTAGTTGCATGCATTTACTTTAAACAGCTTAGTATCTAGATATATCAGCTTAAGTATACATCACCATTAGAGAAGCTTGGTTGTCTCCTTGCCACATATGACTGGGGGGAACTCAGGCAGTCACTCTGAAAGACCCTCTCTTCTGGGAACAGCAGAAACCAGTAACACGCGTTCGCATTACAGGTGGGTAGTTCGCCAAGTGAGCGCAAGATTCCAGTAGTCTTATATACCTGTCTTCAAGGACAGTCAGTAGTTCCTTACCATTGCAGCCCAGCAAAAGACCTTGATGCAAGTAGCTGGATGGACCTGGCAGTTGGCCAGACTGTTCAGGACCACCAGAACTCATGCCAAGTCTTGTGCGGTTAATTATCGCTTATCTACAAGCTTTCTTTGTACTGGCAACATAAGTTTCTCAAACTGCTGAAGTACTGTGTCAGCTTATAGTGCTGTGTCAGCTTAGTAAACAGCTGTAGTGCTGTGTCAGCTCTTAATGGCTGTGACATAAAGCCTTCAAGTAATATGTGCTATGTGTGCTTATATGCTTACCGGTGCCATCTTAAAGGGACACTATAGTCACCTGAACAACTTCAGCTTAATGAAGTTGTTCAGGTGAGAACTATAGCTCCCTGCAGCCTCTCTCATGTAAACACTGTATTTAAAACTATCTTCTGAGAAAATACAGTGTTTACATTGAAAGCTAGGAACACCTCCAGTTGCAGTTACTCAGAGTGAACCAGAGGGACTTCTGAGTTGATGGAGGCATAATATGCCTCCATCCACTCAGATCTGCTGTGCACGAGCATCCTGTGATTCAGTATCTCCTCCCTCTGCATGCAGACACTGAACTTTCCTCATAGAGATTCATTGATTCAATTCATCTCTATGAGGAGATGCTGATTGGCCAGGGCTGTGTTTGAATCATGCTGGCTCTGCCCCTGATCTGCCTCCTTGTCAGTCTCAGCCAATCCTATGGGGAAGCACTGTGATTGGATCAGGCTATCACATGTCAGCAGACTGCTTGTTTTTCCTGAGTCTAACAGCATGCAGATTTACAGCTTCTGGCTTGAATACAGTAAGATTTTTACTATATTTATGGAGGCATGAGGGGACTAGATGGTCGTGTTAATACTATAGGGTCAGGAATACATGTAGTTGCACTGGTGACTACAGTGTCCCTTTAACTATCTATAAATGTTTGAGTTGCTCAATAGTGATCAATCAATCATACTTAATTAATATGGAATATTATCACACTGTTGTACCTGTGAGACATCACTAAAACACAAATATGAGTGGTTTAGAGTAGTTTAACATAATGTTGATATCATCAGTGAATGTAGTTTGTGTGTGAAAAATGAAAAAAAATATAAGTAATAAATATTAAAAAAAAATATATATATATATATATATATATTTGAATATAAATAAAACACTAACTTTAGCCAGGGTTTTCGACTAAGTAGCTACTAAAAAAAAAAAAAAGACTGGACATACTCTATTTTAAATACACTGGGTTGTCAACTTTTGCAAATGGTATGCCAAGATGGGGGTTATTCTCATTCCTGGTCTGCCATACAGTCTCAAAGGCAACTTGTGGTACATCAAGGATACAAACGTGTAGTTTATTGCAATAACAGTGATCAGTAGTATGACATTTACAGTTTAAATGCCATGCAGAACTTGGAAAGTAACAAAAAAAATTAATTTGACCACACTTTTAGATTTGTATGCATATTAAATTATGT